CCTCACTATCTCCCCCCCACCCTCACTATCTCCCCCACACTCACCATCTCCCCCTCACTATCTCCCTCCATCACCTCCCCCACCCTCGCTACCTCCCCCCATTACCTCCCCCACCCTCACTATCTCCCCCATTACCTCCTCCCCCCTCACTATCTCCCCCATTACCTCCCCCACCCTCACTATCTCCTCACCACCTTCCCCATCCTTATCGCTTCCCCACCTCATCATCTCCAGACCCATTCCCACAGCCATCCCCTTCCCCCACCACCCCATTCCGCCACCACCCCCTTCTTCAAGCAGACACTCACTGGGAGACAGCTTCTTGTCAATCTCAACAACAACATCAACATTTATATAGTGCCTTTATTGTAGTAAAACGTCCCAAGATGCTTCACAGGAATGTAATCACACTTAATTTGGCATCGATCACAGAAGGAAATATTAGAACAGGGCGACAAGTTGGTCAAAGACAGGGGTTTTAAGCAGAAGGGAGGGGTAGACAGGGTTAAAAAGGACATTGTAGGCAAATGTCCAACTTCATGCATAAGCCCACAAGTATGTGTGACAGATATTGGACCAAGATGGCATCACATCAAGTGCAACCCAGCCTGACACATGTGTTGACACTTAGCAGGAGTCACTGAGGACTGACCACGATGGAGTCGGGGACACTGATTCAGAGACACACAGGTTTATCAGCTAACTCCGTCCAAACCCAGAATTTTCCCGCAACGTCTCTCAGCTAGTGCCTCAGTCCTCCAGTAAACAGTGCATCTAATGACAAGGCCACTCAAGAGAACTCCTCCTTTAATTGGACTGGATTGTATCAACTGTTCAACTCTTCCACAGCAGTTTGAGGGCCGTAGTTTTAGTTCATCCTCATTCATGGGATGTGAGTATGGCTGGTTAGGCCATCATTTATTTCTCACCCCTAATTTCCTGGGCCTTTAAGAGTCAACCACATTGCAGTGGGTCTGGAGTCACATCTGGTCCAGATCAGATAAAGATGGCCTTCTCTTCCCTTAATGTCATTAATGAACCAGAAGTACTTTTATGTCAATTGGTATTATTTACGTGGTCACCATTTTTTTCATTACAGATTTTACTGAATTCAAATTTCACCATCTGCCATGGTGAGATTTGAATCCATGTTCTCAGAACATTAGTTTGGGATTGTGGATTGTGATGTTACCACTGTGGCCCCATGACGAGATGGTGGGGTCATTTCTAAATTGGATGACTGTTACCACCAGTGTATTATCCTGGTGGAAAATCTAAGCCACTGCACTCTCTGTAGACTGTGGCAGCACTGAAAATAACCACAAAGCTGCCAAATAGTCAAACAAATCCAACTGGTGGTAGAAACCAGGCATTCTTACCCAGACTGCATCTAAATGTGACTCTCGTTCCCCACAATGGTGTTGACACAAATCACTCTGGGCCAGAGAAGTGCAACCATTGGTTTCCCAGAGAATCAGGATGCCCTTATGATGACTTAACCGTTATCTAATTGTAAAACAAGCCCCAAATTCTTGCTCTCTTCCCCAGCTGATTGAAAAACCTTAATTCTTTGGTGATCTCATTGAACTGTGGAGAGGCTGAATGGCCTCCTGCTCCTCCTATGTTCACTGCCACCAGGTCCATCTGCAACATCTCTGAGGCCAAGCAGCTGAGTATAGTCTTAGAGTTCATCCCTCCCAACACTAGTGAGGCACAGACTCCTCACCCAAGACAAAACTAGTTGTACAAATGGCAGCTTGCCAGGTCCGTAGCCTTTTAAGCTGATCGGAAGTTATACTAACAGCTGTTATCTATCCACAGGAGTGCTTGATGTCAGGTATGTGTGTGCTGACCCTGAGACCAGGGAGGAAGCACAACAGGAACTTTGCCACCAGACCTTCCAGCCTCACATACGCTTCATGCAGTGCAACCTTCAAACCTGTACTCCCTGGTAAGTCATAGCATGGCATCACCATGTGAAACTGTTACTGCTCGCTTAGCAAGGCCACACTCCCTTCACACTGCCACATCAAACATTCCCAGGCAACAAAAACATGAGTATCAGTAAAAGTGATCATGAGACTCTCTGATTACTCTAAATCCAATCTAGATCATCACTGACCATGCTGGGACAGAAAAGTGCCGTCCTCACCTAGTCTGGGTTTACATGGGAGTTTAGTCTTCCCATATCGCCAAGACTCCTTAGACAGCACCTTCCAAACCCACGACTGCTTCCATTTAGAAGAACAAGGACAGCAGTTACAATGGAACACCACTGCAAGTTCCCCTCCCAGCCACTCACCATCCAGACTTGGAAATATATCGCCATTCCTTCAGTGTTGTTGGGTCAAAATCCTGGAATTCTCTCCCTAATATCATTGTGGGTCTACCTACAGCAGGTAGACTGCAGCGGTTCAAGAAAGCAGCTCATCACCACCTTCTCGAGGGGCGTCTAGTGACAGGCAATAAATGCTGGGCCCAGCCAGTGATATCTGTTCCCCTGAGAATGAATTTTCACTACAAACAGAAATAGAAATATAAAAGAGTGTGAATGTGTTTAACAGGTGCACACATTACAGCAGCAGTGATTGAGTAGTAGTCAGGAGTGGAGACCCTGGCTCACATTATCATTCATGAACCCAAAGATACAGAGGCTGTATGTGACAGTGTTTATAACTGTTATTTATTCCTTGCAAGGTGGGAAGTCAATGCGTTTGATCCTTGCAATGCAAGCTGTGATGGTGGGATTCGGGAGCGGGACGTGTACTGCATAAAGGAAGAGAAGAGTGTGAGACAGAGGGTCCCTCCTTCAGCATGTGATATTACACTCAGACCAGCTTCAACAGAGATCTGTAACACTGAGCCCTGTCCAGTGCAGTAAGTACTTTCTTTGACAAAAAATTGTCCCTGAACTTTGCCTCCAATTCAGCATCCAATCCAATATTGAACACACGAAAATCAAACTCTCCTTTTCAAAACTCCTGCCAACTCATCAACACCCAAGCCCCCTCACCTTCACCTCCCCATCCGCCTTCTCCCCAGCTCCTGCGGATGCTAGCTCTCTAAGCACACCCATCTCCCCCCTCTGACCCACCTATCTCAACCCCCTCAACTCTGACCCACAACCTTGCACCAGACTCATCAACTCCCCTATCCACAACCAACTTCACCAACACTCACTCTCCTAACCCAGTGCCAAAGCTGCACCAGCTACATTTTCAACTCATGAAACTGCTGAGATTCCACCACCACTGTGTATTTTAATAGTTCTTAATATATGGGCATCATTGCTGGGGCCAACAATTATTGCCTGTCTCTAGATGCCCTTGAGAAGGTGGGGCCATCTTGAATCACTGGCTCCCATCTAGTGCAGGGATGCCTACGATACAGTTAGGGAGGGAATTCCAAGATTTTTTACCCAGTGGCAATATTTTTCCAAGTCAGGATGGTGATTGGCTCGGAGGGGAACTTGCTGGGTGTGGTGTTCCCATGTGTCTGCTGCCCTTGTCCTTCTAGATAGAAGTGGTTGTGTGTTTGGAAGGTGCTGTCTAAGGAACTTTGGTGAGTTGCTGATTGTATCATTATTCCAAATGTATATTGGTTTTGAGTAATTATTTCTAAAAAGCTCATGTTGGTAGAGCCCCTTCTCTCACCACAGTGCTTTATGAATAATTGATCACTTCCAATGGTCAAACATTAGCATCCACTATTGCCATAGGACCATGTGAAATAGGAACAGGAGGAGGCCATTCAGCCCCTCAAGCCTGCTCTGCCATTCAATAGGATCATGACTGATCTGACATTCTTCACGTCCACTTTCCTGCCCTTTCCCTGTGACCCTTGATCCCCCGACTGATCGAGAATCTATCTCAGCCTTAAATATACACAAGGGCCCTGCCCCCACAGCTCTCTGTGGCAGGGAGTTCCAAAGACTCATGACCCTCTGAGAGAAGAAATTCCTCCTCATCTCAGTTTTAAATTGGTGCCCTTTTATTCTGAGACTATGCCGTCTGGTCCCAGACTCTCCCATGAGGGGAAATATCCTGTCAGCATTTATCCTACCCAGCCCCTTAAGAATCTGATATGTTTCAGTGAGATCACCTCTCATTCTTCTAAACCCCAGTGAGCAGAGATCCAACCTGTTTCACCTTTTCTCATAAGACAACCTCTGTGCCGGGGATCATCATATAAGCTTTTCACATTATTTAACTTTGTTACAGAGAACAGGGAGGTCAAACCCCTCTGATAATTAACCAGAAACACCAGCCCCAATCTGTTACGGTGGGAGTAGAGGTTCTCTTCTAGTAATTAAACCTGAAACGCCCAGAGAAGCTCGCCTTGCACCTCATAATCTGTTAAAACAGTAGTTAAATGAAAGGAATCCCTGATAGTCACTTTATAAGCAACAAATAACAATTTATTTATTTAATGTGAACAGTAAACAAATTAACAGAACTACTGACAAACTGAACAATGCCCTTCTAACTATTAATTATTTCCTGATAAAACAGGATTCTGATCGTTTGCTGTTCCAATAAACACAGGCCCCAATTATATAAATCCAAGTAATAAGAAAACAATAAATTAAAACTTAGTCTCTCAAAGTTCATACTGAATGTGTCTTCCAAATGCTTTGCCTTCTCCACTGTCTCTTAAGCTTTTCTTCTGCTGATCCTACTGTCAGGATTGTTTTCTCTGTAATTTCTTCTGTGAGGACTCATAGCTAGAAGTGCCATGGAACCTTTGGTGGTGCTTTCTTTGAGAGAGCTTAATGATTTTGTCTGAGAGCTAGATTTATTTTGCAGATGGCAGACTTGCTTTTGTTTTAGATGGCAGTTGGCTCTCACCCCGATTTTCAAAAATGCCCTTTTTATATACCCCCAAATGACACATCAATTTCTTATAATATGGTTGGTTTCAGGTTGTCAAAACCATCAGTTTTAAATTCAATCGGCTTTCAAACACTGAGGGCTTGGCTTAAATTAATTGGCCGAGTCTAGCTTGTAGCCAAAACATCAAAACAAGATTCAGAGATAGTAAGAACTGCCGATGCTGGAGTCAGGGATAACACAGTGTAGAGCTGGAGTAACACAGCAGGCCAGGCAGCATCAGGGGAGCAGGAAAGTTGACATTTCAGGTTGGGACCCTTCTTCAGAAATGTTTTGAGTTCCTCCAGCTCCAAACCGTGCTCTCAAAACAAGACTGCTGTTTTGCCTGCCAACTGAAAGGCCTTTGATACACTTGTTCCAATCTGGGACTCTCTGTACAGTACTTGCAAACTTCCAAACACAGACAAAGCAAAATCTTTTAAAGGGACCACACACTGCTTTTCCCCACTTTCATTTTTAGAAACAAATTCTAATTTCCTGCCTTCCAATTCACAAACATTCTAGACAACTTTGTAACAAATTGCACGAGTCTATTATCCTGAGTTATTTTTGAGTAACATTCTAAGTTTTCCTGATCTATCCTTCTAATGACCTACTCCCTTGATTCTTGAGATGAAATTTCTCCTTTCCTCCATCTCGGAGTTTGGATGACGAGCACAGCCAACTGCAGTCTCTTCTCCTGCTGATTGCATGAACAGGTTTCCTTTCTTTGACCCATTGTGTAGATGGCAGACCAAGTCTGAATCATGCAGTGTGTCATGTGGAGGAGGATTCAGGAGAAGGCTGCTGTACTGTATAAAAACTCAGGGAGAACGAGAACAGCTGGTACCACACAAAGAATGTTTACATTTGCCTCAACCCGAGGACAAGGAACCCTGTAATCTTCATCCATGCCCACCAAGGTTTGTGATGTTTTCCATTTCTTCTTGATTTCCTGGACACACTGACTCTCACTGGGGTACGGCTCCCACACACACTGACTCTCACTGGGGTATGACTCCCACACACACTGACTGTCACTGGGTTTCGGCTCCCACACACACTGACTCTCACTGGGGTACAGTCCGACACACACTGACTCTCACTGGGGTACAGTCCGACACACACTGACTCTCACTGGGGTACAGTCCCACACACACTGACTCTCACTGGGGTACAGTCCCACACACACTGACTCTCACTGGGGTACAGCTCCCACACACATTGACTCTCACTGGGGTACTGCTCCCACACACACTGACTCTCACTGGGGTACGGCTCCCACACACACTGACTCTCACTGGGGTACGGCTCCCACACACACTGACTCTCACTGGGGTACGGTCTCACACACACTGACTCTCACTGGGGTACAGTCCCACACACACTGACTCTCACTGGGGTACAGTCCCACACACACTGACTCTCACTGGGGTACAGTCCCACACACACTGACTCTCACTGGGGTACAGCTCCCACACACACTGACTCTCACTGGGGCACGGCTCCCACACACACTGACTCTCACTGGGGTACGGTCCCACACACACTGACTCTCACTGGGGTACAGTCCCACACACACTGACTCTCACTGGGGTACAGTCCCACACATACTGACTCTCACTGTGGTACAGTCCCACACACACTGACTCTCACTAGGGTACGGTCTCATATTAAAGTCATTGAATTCTTGATAATACAATTCTTTTAAAACAGGCAGAGTTGACATGGAGTTAGTTAGTTATGTGGAGTTGCTGTAATTCTAACGGTGGAGAGAATGAGGTCATACTAAATCGTGTAGAAGTTGGCCTGAAAACAAAGGGGAATACTGAGTTGGAGCCAGATCTCTGGCTTTCTCTCTGATTGGGACTGATGGATAGAGGGGAATCCTGAGCTGGAAGGATTGTTTATTTGTGTGTTTGATGGATAGGTGGCAGGTTTCTGAGCCGGGTCGATGTTCCGTGGTGTGTGGGAATGGTCTGGCGAAGAGGAGGGTATCCTGCGTCCAGTTTCGCAATGGGGCCGATGTGGAAGTGAAGCAAACTCTGTGTTCGGGGCTGGAGGAGCCACTGTCCCTTGTTCCTTGTGTGGTCAGCAACTGTCCATTTGGCTGGAATGTCCAGGACTGGTCCAAGGTTAGTGTCCTGACTGGGTAGAGAGGGGAAGGCAGGGTTAAGTGAATACGCTGAGAACTTCAGAACAGGCAGAGACCAGTCAGATGCTCAAGCCTGAACCAACATATAGTATGATCATGACTGATGTGTATCTCAACCCTCTCCACCTTCTAGACCCTTTCTCCACATGCATGAGATCGATTGATCTCTGATATAAGTTTATAATTGAGATAGCCTCTATGTTTATTGTGGGAGAGAGTTTCACACATCTACCACTCATTGTGCAAAGAGTGTTTCTGAACTTGTTCTGAAGAAGGGTCACCAGACCCGAAACATTAACTCTGTCCCTGACTCCACAGACGCTGCCAGACCTGCTGAGTTTCTCCAATAATTCCTAGTTTTGTTTGTCTCAGACTTCCTGCATTTGTGGTTCTTTGTTTCATTTTTGAACTTGCGTCCTGAGCCACTCTGATATTAAAGTCTCTGTCCCCTTCTCCTGAATACCCCCATCTGCAGAAATTGTTTCTCTCTGTCACAGAAACATCAGAACCAGAAGAAGGAGGAGGCCATTCAGTCCCTCAAGCTGCTCCGTCACTTAATAAGAACATGCATGATCTCATCTCAGCCTCAAATCCACTTTCTTGCCCGCTCCCCATCAACCTGTCAACCCGTTATTAATTAAAATCTGTCTATCTCCTCCTTAAATTTACTCAATGTGTCACCAACCACTGCACTCTGGGGGAGTGAATTCCACAGGGTCACGACCCTTTGAAAGAGGTTATTTCTTCTGACCTATGTTTTAAATCTGCTACCCATTATCCTAACTATTCCAGATTGCCCTACATGAGGAAGTATCCTCTCTATGTCTACTTTGTTAATCCTCTTTATTATCTTATTAT